CCTGTTCTCCAGTCTCTGTCCCATACCGCGTTGCACAGATCCCGGTCTCCAGTCTTTGTCCCATACTGCGTCACACAGATCCCGGTCTCCAGTCTCTGTCCCATACTACATCACACAGATCCCGGTCTCCAGTCTTTGTCCCATACTGCGTCACACAGATCCCGGTCTCCAGTCTCTGTCCCATACTACGTCGCACAGATCCCGGGCTCCAGTCTCTGTCCAATACTACATCACACAGATCCCTGTCTCCAGTGTTTGTCCCATACTGTGTCACACAAATCCCGGTCTCCAGTCTCTGTCCCATACTACATCACACAGATCCTGGTCCCCAGTCCTTGTCCCATGCTGTGAGACACAGATCCTGGTCTCCAGTCTCTGTCTCATACTACGTCACACAGATCCTGGTCTCCAGTCTCTGTCTCATACTACATCACACAGATCCCAGTCTCCAGTCTCTGTCTCATACTACGTCACACAGATCCCGGTCTCCAGTCTCTGTCCCATACTGCGTCTCACTGAACTTTTTTTCTAAATGAGTTATTTTGACCTAAATTTCATAATTCTATTTTCAATTAATTACAATCCCCACTCAGGGTCTTTTGCTAAATTGAGAATTTTCAGGAATTTGATAGATAGTTGAGAGTTTAGTGAACAAACCCTCCAGTGGATTACCCTGATATTCTATGAAGCAAAAAAAGTAATCAACCTTTTATTTTTTTTAAATGCAAATACCTTCATGGTGCCATTTGCTCTGAGCTTACAATGCCGATAATGCTGTGTTCTCGAAATATTATAACACAACATGCCGGTCCCTTAACCCCTTAAGGACACATGACATTTGTGACATGTCATGATTCCCTTTTATTCCAGAAGTTTGGTCCTTAAGGGGTTAAAGCATATTATATAATAATACAAATGATTCAGAAGTATTTCACTTTTTTTTTTTTTGCTAAAATTGCATTGGATTGTTCAAGAAAACACTTAAAAAGCAAACAGAGGTGTGATTGTCAGAGAGAGAGAGATAAGGGTGATTAATAATACAATATATATATCTATAACTCGCAGAACAAGAAATTCTATAATGTACAGAGAATATAGGTGTAATAATTGCATACTTCAGAATAATAAATAAAACACACTGGTGTTAATCTACTAAACAGTGAACTATAGAGAATTCAAAATCTAATTGCAAAATTCAAACTTAAATATCAAGCTTTGACAATAGGAATGTATCTACAGATACTTTCTTCATTTTGCAATTTGGATTTAAATTCAATGCAGTTCACTGTTTAACGATTAAATCAGATACAGGTTTTATTAAAGGACCACTATAGTGCCTGGAAAACATACTCGTTTTCCTGGCACTATGGTGCCCTGAGGGTGCCCCCACCCTCAGGGATCCCCCCCCCTCGCCGGGCTCTGGGGAGAGGAAGGGGTTAAAATCTTACCTTTCTCCAGCGCCGGGCGGGGAGCTCTCCTCCTCCTCTCCGCCTCTTCGGCTGAATGCGCATGCGCGGCAGGAGTTGCGCGTGCATTCAGCCAGTCTCATAGGAAAGCATTCATAATCTGTGATTTTCACAGTGAGAAGCACGCAAGCGCCTCTAGCAGCTGTCAATGAGACAGCCACTAGAGGCTTTAGAGGCTGGATTAACCCCATTATAAACATAGCAGTTTCTCTATGTTTATAGAAAAAAGGGTTAATACTAGCTGGACCAGGCACCCAGACCACTTCATTAAGCTGAAGTGGTCTGGGTGCCTATAGTGGTCCTTTAATAATTTAAAATGTAAAATTAATTCGAAGTCATCTTTCCCAAGTGAATTTTAAGTCAAAACAGCTGACATTAAAAAAATAAAAATAAAAAATAAAATATCGTGAAATAAACTACGTTATTACTTTGGTTAATTAGGCGTTGAATTTGAAACACTTTGAATTTATGTTAAATCCATGACAACTCACACTGTATTGAATACCTGTGTGTAGAATTGAAGATGCAAAATACAAATATGATAGAGAGGAATTAAAAAGATTAAAGGCTTTTCAGTCTCTATTTTCATTTTTCCATTTTCTTCTATTGTGGCTGTTACTTAGAGGAACCCGCAGTATTTTCTGTCTTCTTTAGGGTTATTTGGAAGCTACTCTACTATAGTGCAAAATGTGTCCATAGCTTTTATGGAAACTGTTGACTAAATTATTGTCGTCCTCTCCTTAGTGCTTTCTTGCTATTCTATACTTTTTGGGTCATATTTTTGATATTTATTAATAAAGCTGTAGGTTATTATCGTATATTGAGATTTTAGACAAATTATGTTATTTGACTGCAATACACTATTTAGCAAAAGCCTCCCAAATCATTCCACGGGGGTCCTTTTCAGGGTACACAGTGCGACGCCATCTGATTTAATTAAACATTAGACAGTACAAGAGATTACCATCACTTCTAATATAGGAGAGTGCCGGATCATTTATTTCCAGCCATACCCATTAATGCCCTGTGTCACACTATTTGGCTGCCACGTGTGGCTGGTGACTTGTCATGATGCTTGCGAATAGCCGGCACGTTGACCAGGGCCAGCTCAGTGAGAGGTTGAGTTATGTGCGAGCTCCGTAGATTTCCGCAGAGTGACCATGGCGTATAACCTTTTAATGGTGTGAGCCGTATATCTCTCTGGAATCACTGCTGAGGCTCCACTACTGAATCAATGATGTAATTCAGCCAAGCTTTCTCTTTTTTTCTTTCTTCTTCTAACATGGAAGTGAGTGGATTAAAAGGCCCATCGTCAAACTCTTTGCTCTAGAACAAATGTGCTAGCTACTAGTTATGGGAAAAATAGTCAACTGCTTGAGGGCCAACGTGTGATGATGACTTTAGTAATAGCAGCTAGGTTTCAGGTCTACCACCAAGTTGCTGAGCAGAAAAAGTGATCGACAACTGGGCAAACCTGAGCGACTGCCTGTAGATGTTGATGGAATGTTGGGGAACTTGATTTCAAAGTCCACTTCGTGAAACAGGTTTCTATTGAATAGGCTGTACGTTTATTATGTCAATACCCACCGTTGAGTCGGTTTTAAAACACAAGTAGAATTCTTAGAGCAGTGATGAAACGCTTGTTTGAGGGGGCAACACATACCACTTTATTAGGTGAAAATACAGAGAGGAACATGTAATAATTGGTTTAACTAAAAAGAGACAACTCATCAATATGTACATGACATACTGAGCAACTGGGAGGATAGAGAGACACAGAGTTTGTCCAACCATGACGAGCCACCCATAGATTGGGCACTATTGTTTAACTAATCAATTCAATTTAAATGCTGAAATTGTCAACTTAAGCACAGACTCCTGGTAATGAACGAAGTGGCTTTGTCAATATTAATATTTATTTAACTCAAGCACAATTTGATGCGAATGACGTGATGTAGCTGAATTTTAAAAACAAGTTCATTTTGGCCTTGAGAACAAGCAATCTGAAAGCTATAGAATTCAACAGTTGAACACCATGGGAAGTGTGTGTATACAGTGGATGTGTAAGGCATGCATGCAGTGTTTGTGTATATAGTGGATGATGGTATGTGTGTGTAAGGGATGAATTGTGTGTGTTTGTGGGGTATGATAGGGGCTGTGTTCTGTGGAGGGTGAGAGAAGGGAGCCACTTTATATTTTCTTATTTTTGTTGTTGTTTTATTGGCTATTCTCATGCTTCCCCTCTTTTTACCTCTGAGGGGGACACTACATTCCGTGGTGGTCCTGTGGTACTCTAGTGGCTCATTTGCAGTGTATATATGTGTGAGGGGTGCATGCAGGGTGTGCATGTGTGTATAGTGCAAGCAGTGTGTGCAAGGGATGCATGCAGTGTGTGTAGTGTGCAGCGGATGCAGTGTATGTGTGAGTAAGGGATGCATGCAGTGTGTGTAGTGTGTAGCGGATGCAGTGTATGTGTGAGTAAGGGATGCATGCAGTGTGTGTAGTGTGTAGCGGATGCAGTGTATGTGTGAGTAAGGGATGCATGCAGTGTGTGTAGTGTGTAGCGGATGCAGTGTATGTGTGAGTAAGGGATGCATGCAGTGTGTGTAGTGTGTAGCGGATGCAGTGTATGTGTGAGTAAGGGATGCATGCAGTGTGTGTAGTGTGTAGCGGATGCAGTGTATGTGTGAGTAAGGGATGCATGCAGTGTGTGTAGTGGATGCAGTGTATGTGTGAGTAAGGGATGCATGCAGTGTGTGTAGTGTGTAGCAGATGCAGTGTATGTGTGAGTAAGGGATGCATGCAGTGTGTGTAGTGTGTAGCGGATGCAGTGTGTTTGTATTTTAATTTTTGTTTTGTTTTCTTTTCTCCGTCTCCCTGTTTCTTACCTCTGGCCAGGGAGGGGCGACAGAGCATATCCTGGTGGTCTGGTGGTTGTGTAAAGCTCTCAGCCTTCACCTCTTCTGGGTGAAGGCTCTTCTTGAGAGCCCCGGCACTGTGTGAATTTGGAGTGGACGGCAACCCTCTGAAATCGAGAATAAGAGGACCAGCTGCCATGAGCGAAAGCTGAGAGTCTCCTGGCCCCCCACACATACCGGCTGTACTTGCTATATATATACATATTGTGTACATAGTGCCCTGCTCAATGGTGACCAGGGCCCTTTTACATGTCTAGGGGTTGTAAGCCCCCTTGGCGGCCCTGGCCCAGAGTATTCCTTTAAATTTAAGGTCTGGCCTAAATTTTGCAATTCAGATTTTGATTCTCTACAGTTTGAGTTTTAGTGAATAAATCCCATGTATTTGGACAAGGTTATATCCTAATGTGAATGCTCTATAGCTGTATAGCCTCCTTTATTTACTGAATTACAATGAGTCAGGGCCCAAAAAAATACTCTATATTAGCTGTTTGTTTTTCAGAAGTTTTCAGGTACAGTATTATTCCATTATTATTTTTATTGTTAGCATATAGCAGCAACATAGTCTGCAACACGTTACAATTACAGAAAGAGGATATTTTACAAGTAATCCAGTGTATAACAGACGAGATGTGAAGACATTTTATTTTTTAGAGAGGACAGACAGAAAGGGAGGAACATGATGCTTCAATCTTTTTTAAAACACTTGCAATTATTTTTATACGGGCAGCCTCTGCAGAGATATACTCAGTGCCTAATTTAATACCAGCGTGCCGATGGAACCGCTCACAGCTTATGACACACACAGGGGTCACAACATGACCGTTTAGTCCCTCGCTAAATGACATCACTGCATCACAATAAATGACAGTTATGTGCTTGGCCACTGCATATCAATGCAATCATTCTACTATTAATTGTTCTAAGAGGGTGATGTCATCCAGCTGATGCACAGCGGGATTGCGAATGCTCGCGTGCGTTAGCAAGACACTGATGGGGTGTTAAAAAACAAACTGGCAGACGTCAAGACCCAACGCTTGCATCCTGATCTCTGTTTTACAGTTCGGTGGCATGTTTGCATACAGTGAGTTGGCAAAAAGGCCTGATGTCTGGAAGCTACAAGGTAGAGTAGCAATGCTTGCTGTGAAATCAATGTTCCGTGTCGGTGAAGATCTCGGCTCCATTTATGCAAGCAGAATCTGCAGTCAGAGACAAAATACAACATAGTGAACAATACAATCATGTCACTGTTAACAGCCAGCGTTATAATAGCAATATATCATAACCCTATCTAGCCACACATGGCTTGCCGCAATTGATGTATCATTAGACCTGTGTATTACTGCCTGTATGATCCTGCTCTATTCTAACACGTCGCTGACTAGTGGAACGTTCTGAATTCTCAGCTCATTCCATTGGTGTCGTGACCTTTATTTGTTAAGATATTTAAATGGAGAAAACTGAAAGTAGAGATATAATAAATAAAAGATCACAAGGAGTAATATGATGTGTCATTTGGACACAGGAAGTGCCAGCGTTAACCATTTAAAGTGGATGAGAGCAGTGAGAAGGTCACATTCTCTATGTATATGCCTATGTTAATATAGCTGACGTTCAAATCAGCCAAACTTACTCCATGGAGGTGATGGTTAGCGTTGGTAATTCAGAAGCTTCTAAACTTTGTATCCCACAATGCTCAGACAGCATTTGTGCTATTTGAGAATCATGGGAAATGTAGTTTAGAAAAGGTATATAATAAATGCTCACTTAGTGTGTGATGTGGGGGCTGTCTGAATGTTAAGAAGAGCGATGCACCTTTCGTATAGTAAATGAAATGGAAGAGACACCCCAGAAAAAAAGAGGGCAATTTGGGGCCTGTATTCAAACATGTAGTAAAGGCAGATGAATCACAGAGACACAGCAAATGTGAAGTCAGGCAGTAAATATCTGAAACAAGGAGACAGTTTGAGAACCTAAAGGACATGGACCAAGACAGTGGAACCAAAAATCAGGTAATAGTGCAGAGCAGGGGCATTGCAAGGTAGGGGCTGAAAGGGGTTGGAACCCCAAATGGTTAGTGCACTTGCAAAATCATTATTTAATACATTGGAATTCTGGTAATATATTAAATTACTGTTCAAATATGCCTGAGAGAAAACACTCAGTTGTGATCCCGGTGCTCAGAGAAAGAGTCAGAGTGCTCTCAATGAGCACTCACTCAATGAGCACCAGGCAGGAAGAACATGTGACAACACGATCTGCCAGGGTTTTTGGTAAGCCGCACCAAAGGATTATACCCCCCTAACCATTAGGATTATACCCCCCTAACCATTAGGATTAGGTAGGAAGGGGGTAATATTATCTCCTGAAGCCCAGCGATCCATAGTTACACACTTGGCCTACTGTGTTTGGAGGTGTGTTTCAGGTCACTGTCATAGGCACAACATTAAGCCTGGCCACTCTGGGGTCCGGTAACATGCTACCATCCTGTTATCTTTTTACCATTTCATTATATACACGTTCGACTTAAGTTCTGTGGGTCATTATCATGACGGATGTTAATCTTGCCTTGCATACTTGGACCCCTGTTTTTGGATGACTTTTTACCCTGAACTCAGACTGTACTTTGGGCTTCTTCTGCGTCCCTCAAAGTGTCTCATACAGCGATCTTGCAATGCTCGGGGCTCAATTCTTGGTGGAATGCAGCTCTCCTGCTTCATATACTGGTCTCCTCAATCCCTGCATGCCAGCTTGCACTTTCCTAAGACACTCACTGGTCACAGTGGCCCCCTTTACCCGCGACCTTCTGCCAAGATAAATTAAAAATTGAGAAAATATATGGAATAGTGTCTTAGTCTACAGAAAGAAAAAAAATCTGTTTCTAGATATATGTTGGCAAACAGGTTTGGAACTCCTTATCTCTCCTTCCCAGGAAACCACTAGAAGTAAATATGACCCATCAATGACTGTGTGTCTTTGTAAAAACTATAATTTGATTCCATTAATCCACACCCATCGACAATAAACCATTATTAACAGGAAATCTATTATTTAATCTATTCTATGTTCTGTGCCTAAAATGCATTGAGACATGATATCCTTTAATTTTCATTTGCCTGCCTTTTAGTGTGACAGCTTAACTAATCACTGTTTTTTGTTCTCGTTTATAATGGTAAAAAAACACGTATTTTATGCCCAGTTATTCATTATTTAAAGGAAAAATATGTCTTCATTTCAATATGCAAACTCATTTGACATACATAATAGCGATATAGACATGTATTAATCATTGCTGTATCTGATATACTGCAAATTAGTTTATTACTTTTATAAATTGGGCCGATGCGTATAAAGTGCACTTCTGGAGCAAAGTTCTGAAAGTGTAGATGACAGCATAGTCAATTGGTTTCCATATCGACTGCTCCATTTCAACACTTTTTTATAGAAACCTTATTTTGTTTAAGGGTACTAATAATGTACTAAATCTGTAGGTAGTGAGATATATATATTGAATATTATATTTTTGTTTTTAGCATAATAAAATAATTTTTCTGTTTACACATTTTTATTTATTTTTTTTGTTTTCAATTTTACAAACTGTTATTATTAAGCCAAGAAGGGGCTATTTTGCCTCTTAGCTCTTAACTGTGAAGACTCACAAAGACTCAGCTGGTTATTACTGAATGCTTAAAGGACCAATTTAAGCACCACGACAACTTTATTAAAATTAAGTTGTTATGGTGCCTGCAGGTCCTTGGGGCTGGCTCACCTTTAGGGGTTAAACCATAAAGTCTCTGTTCCAGTGCCAACTGCTCTACCTTCCTGTCCTTCCTCTATCTGATATCTTAGATAATGTAAGGCTCGGGCAGCTTAGAGTGGCCTGGTGAACGGTTTTACTCCTAAAGGTGAGGCAGCACCGACACAGTAACAACTTTATTTAGAACCTCAGCAATCAATTTACCCAAGAGGGGCAGCAAATTAACAGTCTGCTACCAACAAGGGCTAACAATACAAACAATAAAGTTCTGATATGTTTGAAATAATCGCTACTGCCTAGTTTAAATGTGTTGGAGGACTTACCGCTGCTGGTAACATTTAATTGTCTGTCTTCTATAGTATATTCTCTATGGTACCAGACAGGAAGTATGTTATTACTATGTATTTCCTCAGTTCCTGTCACTCTCTTGTTATGCTGCCATTTTGCTTTAAGATGTAATAAAGTTTGCCTCTTGTTTTTTTTTTTTTTTAAATCAGTCTGTTCCAGTTTAGACAAACCACCGACTAAGGTTTCTTAATTACCTAGCGTCATACATGAGCCCTGCTCTGACTTCTACATGCTGCTGCTGTGCTAATACAACTCAAATAAATGACAACATGACATTCCCTACACGTGTTCATCAACACAATGAAAACAGACATATATTTAAAATATATATTTATTTTTAAAAAAAATACGGCCAGATTTTGATTTATAATTTTATATATTAATATTACATTTTAATTTTATTATTCTAAAATATTTCACAAATGTGTCCCTTAAAATGTTTTATTTTCAATTAAAAAAAAATTTTCATCCTCTTTAAAACGTACACCTAAACATGGCTTAGATTTGCGATGCTGTCTTAGATTTTCAGTCTGCCTTCCTTGGCCTCTTTCTGACTGTTCCACTGTTATGAGACGTCATGCGTTCAACACATCCTCTCGTATTAGCCATTCGTGTCAGGATGAGCTAAGGACAGCATTATGCATTCGCGATTACCATTTTTCTTAGCTCCACTTATCCAAACTGTTAAAAAGATCCAGGGCTCCTAAAGACAATTAGACTTAAGGGAAATCATAAATCTCAATAAATATCAACCACAGTTTTCCCTCACTGCTTGAAACAACAGATATAATTTGATTGGCTCCTGAGATCATCCCTCAAGGGGATTGCAGATAAAATGCCACTTTTTCCAAACACTCAGTTGTCTTAGCTTTCTGAAAACCAAGAAAGCAGGAAGGGGGGACTTAAGGGTTTTGTTGCATCTCTTGTAAGGGAAAAGACTATTTCTGTAGTTGTTTTTTTTTGTTTTTTTTTTAAATCAAGATCTAAAGATATAAGTCTTGACGCAAAAGCTAATATTTTTTTTTCTCCCCTCGTGGCTACTGAAATTCAAAGGTGAAATACTACGTAAGCATTTTGAATACAAACGAATATTTGTATAAGTTTATTTTACTCTAACAGCTGTTTTTTTGTTTTTGTTTACAAAGTCATATGACTAATATGGCAAATTGTTCACACTTTTTTAAAATTTATTTATGGTTTCGAGATAAAGATTTCACTTGGGTAAAAAAGGGTATGGAGAACAATATTTTGGTAAAATGTTGTAAACATTTACAATCTTTGATTTAGATAATCAAGAATGTCATAATATAATATAAATCCTATACCGTATATGTAGGTAAGGCAACAACCATCCTTATGTTGTGTAAATAGATGTATATATGTGTATATATATTTATTATATTTTTTATACTTTATTTCTCTCTTTTCTATACTTAATCACCAACTCTTGCGGAGTATTGGACTAATTACACTGATGACGTTTTTTTGAAAAGAGACACGTCACTGATGACATCACTTAATCTCGTTTTCACCTTCCCCACCTTCCAATGAACACTTGGGTATTGCATATTTAAATGCTTCATGTATCACTGTTTATTTGTCTTGATAAAAGTCCGGTTGGGCTGAAACGTTGACACTGACATTTTGGATGTGATTGTCTGTTGCTGAAATAAAAAGTACTTTGTTGAAACATTTCGAGTCCTGTGAGTGCTCTCCATCAGGGTATTATATATATATTTATA